CTTGGACATATATTTTAGCAGCTTTTATAATATTTTTATCGTCATACATATTTAAATTGGCCGGAATAAGTCCTTCAAGTGGCATAACATCAATAAGCCTTTGATTAAAACGAGCATCCATTGATTCTATTAAATAGTCAAGATACATTATACATATAAACACGGTCCATGGGAGGGGGGGCTATAGCCCCCTTAGCCCCCCCCCCTTGGCTACGCCACTGTTACCTAAATAATGTTATGTATTTGTGTCTCCCTTCGAATTTTTTTCAAGTCGAATACTACAGATTACCACATTATCACAATAGATTAATTATTTATAAACAAGTATCACAATTTAATTTAATACATATAATATGACATAATCAACGAGAAAACTCATAACTATGAATCACGAAAGTGACATTCGAAAGTGTTAGTAGTTAATAAATAATTATTACGATTTTTTTTTTATTTGTAACTCAATACATATTATTATTACTTGAACTATATCGAAGAATTAATTGAGAACTAAAATAATTAAATTCTTTCAGAAATTAATTTAAAACTTTATTATTCGGAAAGTATTATCTCAGAATTCAAACCAAATTACCGAACATACATAAATTATATATTATATAATTGCATTCTTTGTTTCTATCCGTGAAGGTTATAGTAACTACGACAAGATGTTAGTTAATTTTCGTAAATAATGATTTACCATTACAACATGGTTATTCATTATCATTTTCTGGACAAAAATCGCTTTCAGTTTATGCATTATTATCAATCTTTATCAATTATCAGTGTAATATTCTATGACTGGTGTACATTGTACATAAAATAAATCTTAAAATTCGAATTTTGGTATTTGATGTTTAAAAATTTGAGTATTTATTAAGTTGATGTGAAGTTTGATTTTATTAACTCATAAAAATGTACAACACTAACAGTAACAGGTAATACTATTAAAACCAATCTCAAATTATAAACAAATGAATAGATCATTAAACACTTTATAATATGTTATTTGATGATTTTTTTTTATTCATTCTAGGGCTAATTTTTCTGACTGCAATTCAGCGTCTGGTAGTAATAGAAACCGTTCTAACTCTATGAAAAAACCTAAACTCTCCAGACAAAAATATTCTAGAGTTGAAAATCGGCCACCTAATTATAATGAACAAATATCTGAGTTCTCTACGCTTCAATGGAATCAATCTAACCAGCGTTTGTATCCTACAATGTCAGATTCTGCTATGTGTGGGTATCCTGTCCCAGTTAATATACCTGTTGATCCAAGATTTCATACTATGTATCCAGTATTTTCACCATATATGTCTGTTGGTATTGGTAGAGAATACGTAGAACCAAATCAAAATATATTATCTAGAGACCAATTTACTAGTTTACCTCCTATTAATATCATAGACAATGAATCTGAAATCAAACGTACCCATAGTGATCCAGGTTTAAATAACCAAGATGATAAATTTGATTTAATTAGCAGTGAATCAGACCGGGAATCTTATGATACAATTTATGCTAATGAAATAGCAGATTTAAAAAAAGATAATCAGAGACTTTCTAATGAATTGGAGTTAGTGAAATTTGAATTACGAAATTTGAAATTGGATCTATCTAGCAGAAATAATGATCGATGTGCTTGTGCGGATCCAGGATCTATAACAAGTAATTTTATTAAGAAATTAATAATAATCAATATATTCGAGCATCAAATCTAGCTTTTAATATGTATATAATTGTCTTCCGTATATTTAAATGATAGGTACAACTATTGATTAATGTAAATAATTTAATTATAAATAAACAGCAGTTATGCCAGCTAAGATTGTGTGGTAATAATAGTGTAATATGAACTTATAAAAGTAGGTTTATTTACTGAAATATTTTAATGTATAACTAAATAATTATAGTGTATGATTTGTTTAGATATTATTCAAGAAATAAGAGCAGCACATAAATTAATGGAACAAACATTAGAGTCAAAGTTAAATACATTTAAGGATAATAAAAATGAAATTATTGTTAGTAGTTTTTATGAAGACATATATTATTGTACAAAATTTAATTAAAAATATATTGTTATTATATAGAACAACAAATCACAACTATCATCAATTCACGAACGCCTAGAAAAATTAGAAAATGCTAATACAGCTCATAATCCGAAAATACAAAAGTAAGTTTCTTAAAATTAAAATATTCATTAAACTATGATAAATTTTTATGATTACATATAATGTAATAGTTTGGAGCAGTGATTTTACAACATTTTTCATAGTACATATTTCCATTATGATCAACTTTTCAAATTATTGAAAAAAATTTATTTAAAAAAAATTAAACTAAAAATCAAAGGTGGCTAAAGGAAAAAAGTCATGTTAGCAACAATAATATAAATGTTGCACATTTATAAAATATTTTATTTTAATATTACATAATATTCAACTACAGTATGCTTTGTACAATAAATAATTTATAGCCAATAATGTTTTGAACTTATAAATTGTAAGAGGTCAAAAAACTACTGTTAACAATGAAAAATCAGAATGTGGATCGTCTCCACATAAATTTTAACAGATAAAATTATGGTTTGAATTTATTACAACCGTTCAACCATTGAACATGTCTTGTAATAATTACCATTTTTTGCTTACGATACTGTGCATTTTCTTTGATAGACATGGTGCCATGCAGTACAATATGAATACAAGATGTTTATTAAAAAGGCATTGAGAGTCCTACTTTCTTTTTTTTCAACTTATTTATGTAGAATCTCAGCAGTCACTGCAACCAAGTCTAAATATCGAAACAGGTTGAATTTGATGCTGACTCTAAAACTTTCATTAACAAATTTTACTCCAGATATTGATAATATATGCAGTCACATTTAAGCATATCTATCCCATTAAGATTCATGCATTAATTTAATAATCATTTTTCCTTTTACTGAAATCAAATATAATGTTACTTCTTGAATGCTATAATAAATAAATAATTTAATTGAATTTTTCTATATTTAGTATTATAATTTATTATTATAGTAATATTTTTAATGTTACCATTTATCGCCATAATTTTGTACCTTTCTTTTTTTTAAGATAATTTTCATAGGAGTTCCACATTAAAAAATATTGTTTAATGTTCTGTGATCTTAAAAAATTTAAGAAACACTGAACTATGGCATAATATAATAGCTTATAACCTTTATTACAATATTTAAACATATTCCTTATTTAATAAGTACAGTTGTGTATTGTATTAATATTATTTTATTTTATTTTTTTTAGAATATTGGATTTGGATACAAAAGTTAGAAATAATTTAAAAAATAACATTTCTCCCAAAAAAAGCTCAAATCATCAATGCTCTGTTGTTACTGCCTTGTAAGATAAAAATTATATGTTATATAAAAAAAGAAAAATCAAATCAAACATGTTACTAACTTATGTATAATTATGCCATAATTTGTTTGACTCCATATTTTATTAATTAAAATTACCAATTATAAAATTGAATTTGCAAATTATTTGAATAATTATATATTAGACAGATATAATTTATATTATTTGATTATGACTAATTTAAAATAAATATAATAATGGGTAATTTAATTTATATCGCCTTTGATTTTTCAAATTTTTTAAATTTATAGAAAAAATTATTTTACTAACAATGTTTTACAACGATAATGTGTTTTTAAAACATAGTTGTGTTCCAATATTGCATTCCATTTATATTTTAAATAAAATAATATTTTTTTTACAATTATTCAATGAAAATTAATATGATTAATTATATTAAGTAAAATTAAATATATAATTATTTGACCTTATCTGTTAACTTCTTTGTAACTTTATGGCTAATGGTATATTAGGTCTATTATATTGTGCATATTTCAGTAATATATATTCTATTCTTGATCTACATAAATTATTTAATTAAAATTGTTATGCTGAATCAGTTAAAATGCACAATTATTTTTTATTATATATGGTTTTTTTATTTATGTTATTATTATACTAAATTTATATGATGACTGAATGACTTTTTACTTTCCCTGTAGATAATATAATGATAAATTAATATTCATCACTGCCTAGCACCAATTCTTACTGATAATTATTTTTAATTGTATTTCATAAATATATTTTTAAATATTAAATTCAAAAGCATTTTTGACAATAGTTGTTTTAAATAAATACTAATCAAGTCACCAGTAAATGTAGGTTTGATAAAATTAATTTACATTAATAAGACAGAAAAGCTTATACTTCCATGGTTTGAACTTACAGTGAGTGAAAATAAAAGCCAAAAATCATACGATCCAAAAACTTGAGAATGGATTAAAACGTTATGTATTGTAGAAAATATGTAAATGTATTTAATTTTTATTCTGTTTGCATAGAATCTAATCTTATTTTTAATAAAGAAATATTTATATAAATTATATTATTATATAATTTCTATCATTTATGTTTTTAAAACTATTTCAAAGCTTTACTTATAAAGCTAAAATAGTTATTTGAACTATCACTATGAAAAAAGTGCAGAAAAAACTATTATTTTTTCTTCAATTTATAAATTTAAATTTATTTTTAAAACAAAATTTCACTAGACATTATCAAAAGAATAATTATTATTAGAATTATGAAGTCAAATTATTATTTTATGTATAATGTAAACATAATACTTTAATGTTTTACATTCATCATATTTATAATCATATAATTACATAAATACTTGATTTTAAACAATGTAAATTTACAGAGGTCTATATATAGTTTTATACACTTTATAATTAATTTTATAGCTATGTGAGTTATTAGAATACATTATATTTAATTAATGAATTAATAAGTATATTTTTGCCATTAAATTATATAACCCATAAATATGTAGATTATTTAAACTATTATTATTATTATTATTATTATTATTATTTATTAACTATTAATTATTTTAAATTTAAACATTAAATTATTATTATCATCATACCATAATTTATTTAACCATTTAGTTTCATATTTTTGTAAACTTCTAGTTTCTACATTAATAAAGACAATACATATTATTTTTTTATTTATTTTTTTTTATTATTTTTTTATTGAAATTTTAACATTAAATTATTACATTTACCAAAACTTATAACTATTATACAATTATTATTAAGTACAAAATTACATGTTAATTCTACTCTCTAAAAATTATAAAATCCATTTCTAATAAGCCTAAGTCTTTATATTTTGAGGCTGGATTGGAGAATGAAATTAGTTATGCATTTAATTTGAGTGGAGTTTTGGAGGATAAAGAATCAATGTGAAAGAATTTGGTATGAAGAGAGGAGAAAATTATTGTCAAATATCTATTATATAAGGATGCTGGACAGTTAAATATTAAATGTTGAAAATCGAAATTAAAAAGTAAAAAGTAAATTGAAAGTACTACAATGGCGTCGAACCTTTTTTATATCACTGGGGTAAACCCTACTTATGGGTATCCACCTACTCACCAAAAAATCATAAATAGCAAGTATTGTATACCTGTGAGTAACGAGTATTTACTACACATCTAGTAATTACATAATATTATGGAATATTTTACCGTACAATAATATATCTAGCACTTATCAAGTCTAACCACCTACCCACCACCTAAACAATTTCTGGGGTATTTACCCCACTTGCCATACGTTTTCGGCGCCACTGAGTACCACAGTTGGTGAGGGAACATGAAGAGTTATCGCTCAGTTCTAACTTGTACACATGTTTCAGTAGTGAATTCGCACATTCGCAGCCTGGAATAACATCCTATTATAGAACGGTTTACATTTACTTTTTGAAACCAAGGATGAGATGGTATGTAGGGGAGATTTCTTTAAAGATAGGGACGTATGAAACTAAGAAGTTATTCCATTCAAGCTCCATTCATAGTTTATGGATGGCTCGACGATAAAGAGATGTAAGATCTGCGTATTACATATATTATGTTGGCAAAGTTGATTTTATGTATGGTTTGTGGTATTAGTGCAGTGGTTTTCAACCTTTTTACCAATTCAGCTCACTTCATCTCTTACAAAATATTCGCGGCACACCAATCCATATATTATGTAAACCATATTTTATATATATATATATATATATATGTACAGTGTTTACAGTCTACTCTATTAAATGGTTATTTATTGTGAAATATAATCACTCGCTTCGTTTTGCTATAACAATCGCCCGCTCTAGTCCGTGTGAAAGTGACACGTCGGAAAAATGTCAAGTATTCAACGCGTTAACGTTAAATTTCTTGTAAAGGTTTGGAAAACTGCTTCAAAAAATGATACTATATTAAAAGAAGTATACAGGAATGAATGTATATTGCGCACACAAGTTTTTGAGTGGCTTAAAATTTTTAAAGGACGTGAAACAACTGAAGGCGATCCACGCTCTAGACGACCTTCCAAGTCAAAAACGAACGAAAACATCTAACGAATTGATAAGTTGACCCGTGAAGATCGTCGTCTGAGTATTCGAGCTGTTTCTAAAATAATAGGAATTGATAAAGAAAGTGTTCATCAGATTTTGCATGAATCATTCAATATGCGTAAAGTTTGAGCAAAAATAGTGCTTTAACTTCTCACACCCGAGTAAAAAGAATCAAGAATGAACATTTGCCCTGACATTTTAAATGACATTAAAACTGATCCTTACTTTTTAGATAGAGTGATTACTTGTGATAAATCATAGTTTTTTACCTATAATCCAGAAACAAAGAGACAACCGATAGGTACATTGGAAAAACCCGAACTCATCAAGGCTATAAAAAGCAAAAATGACCAAATCAAAATTCAAAGTCATGATGATCGTTTTTTTTTTTACATTCGTGGAATAGTTTATGTTCACTGGGTCCCAGAAGGTCAGACTATCAATCAATATTACTACATTGAAGTTTAGACCACCCTTCGTGAAAGAGTAAGGAGACAAAACCTAAATTGTAGAGAGACAAGTCTTGGATGCTTCACCAAGATAACGCACCATCCCGTTCCGCTTTGTCCGTGAAGACGTTTTTCGCCAAGTAAAACATCACTGTGTTAGAAAATCCATCGTACTTATCTTTATATATTTTGGGGGAGGGCTATAATAATTCAATGTGAAATTGGGGGTTCACCCCCCTACCCTCGAAATTAATGGATGATTAATTTCAAACGTAGTTATCCTACCCAGAGATGGACCTAGGAATTTTTACGCCTGGGTAAAATGTTAAAATTACGCCCTATCCATAGATTAATAAACAAATACTCAAATAAATTGTGTTCTTATAATCAGTATACAATCGTACTTATTGAGTTTTAACCTAATATCAGTATTTAACGAAGTTAAAAATATCAAATTAGTTGTTAATAATTACGAAAATTACACCCTCTAAAATTTTACGCCCGGGGATAAATCCCCGACTTCCCCCCCTAGATCCGGCCCTGATCCTACCTTATGTACCTTAAAAAAATTAATTGTTCAAAATACGATCAAAATATGCTAGAAAAAAAATGTTTTGTTAAAAAAAGTGAATTTGTAATAATTTGTAATTTTCCAAGCATTCTAAAAGGTAGATAATTGGTAGGTATTTAATAAGGTAGGTAATTGGTACTTAAAACTCAAATTTTTTGAAATTCCATGATGGCAATACTTCGTAAAAATAATGCATGTATGTAAGTCGTTTATTATCAGTAAGTAAAAATAAGTAAATATACATAACGATACGATATAATATTATTTACAATGGACCTCAAAGGGGTGAATAGGGTCAATTTCAAAGGTTTTTTGGTAATTTCTCTTAGAGTTTTTAAGATAGATTAATTTTTTTTTTTTTTTTAATGAAATGAAAGATGTCTCCCAATATAATTTACTATAAAAAAATACATTCACTTAACCGGATATATTTTTATATTTTTTTAAAAATGTGACTCTATTCATACTTACTATGGGACAAATAGGGTCACATGTTTATTTTGTTCTAAAAATGTATTCACACTGTCCCAGAGGTGATAGGGTCAGTAAAATACATTTTTAAAAATGTTAAGTTATACCTATAAAATGTATTGCTCAGTGAAAAATAGTTTATATAAGTAAAAATGAAAAGAAACAATTTAAAATTAAATTAATTAATACAATTCTTTAATTTTTTGAATAAATAATGCAATGTTTAAACAAGAGGTAGGTAATAATATTTTTTTAAAAATACCAAATAAGCACCCTCATATAACAATAAAAATAAAACAAAACTGACTTTTATAAGAATTTTTCTTAACATAATAATATTTTCTGTTTTTGATAAAACTTAACAAGTTAATACAATTCTTAAACAATTAATTATTAGGTAGGTAGATATGTAATATAACAAATCAGTCTTTAAATTCACTTTAGGTAGATTATGACATTTTTAAATAATACTAAATAAGCACCTTCATCTAGGTAACAATAAAATTTAACTTTTTACTATGTATTATACACTGTTTTGAATATCACTTAGTTTCACAGTAAATTGCATTCGACCCCTGTGCAGACTCTTTGGTTGTGTTGGTTGAGGAACTATCATAACAATATCATACAGCTTAAATGTGTAGAAGTCAATGATATCTGAAAATATATATATAGGTTCTTCGGTTTCATTATTGTAGCTACTTGAGAAGTTACTGGATCTGGTAAATGACCCTTCATAAAGTTCACCCTTTTGTAATATTTGTATGATTTTAACAAAATATAATTTCTTAGTTTCGCCATACTTACGACGACCCATAAGCCTTCTTTGATATTATTTTTTATAATACTAGACATTTGGCCTACATTAATTAAATTTGAGTTTGGCCTTTGTTTATCTTTGGCTTCATTGATTATCATTTCAATGTCCACTGGTTTATCAGCTTCATCAAAGTTCACTTATCCTGGGTCATCCCTTTTATGCTTTTTCCTAGTTGAACCTTTAATCTTTTCTTCCTATGTTTTTTAGTTGAGTCAGGTGTTCCATTCTTTGATTTTTTCAAAAATGTAGCTAAAATTTCTGACACTAAAGAAGTGTCATTTATTGATGAACTATCATTTTCAGTATCTGGTAGCAACATATTTAAAACTTTCTTTTTGTTTAGTGGGTATATTCCAGTTTTTTCAAATCCTGCAATAATATTTTTCCCATTTTTAGTAACAAGTTTACATAATGTGTTTTTAAGTAATGATGGAAAATAATCTTTATTAATAGTTACAGTCAATTTACCATTTCTACTACATGTTTTCTAATTTTTAAGAACATTTCTTCATGCTCCTTTCAATCACCGAAAAAAGACAACATCAAGGAGCTGCCTTAAAATGTGTTGAATTTGGTAGCAGAAAAATTAAGTCAACAGAATGTTTTTCACTTAATTGTATAACTTCAGATTATAAATGTGAACTAAGATTATCTCAAATTATAACTTTTTTGCCGTTTAATCGTCAGCAGCTTCTGAGATTCTATAACAAACCATATATTATATTTCTAAAACTTAAAAATCTATTTATCATAAGTATAAACTTTCCACAATGATGGTGTATAAATATCATCAGACCCTTTACCAGATCGTATAGAGCTTTCTACTTTGGTCCTTTCTTTTCTGTATGCTCTTCGAATATTTTGTAGTTTATTTTTGACTACCTTCACATTTACATCTTTCATTCCATTACTTTTTAATTGATCTACAAACTCAGTATAAGCTTGGTTTTTTAAATTCTTATTTTTATATACTTCTGTGTTGATTTTCCAGAGACACTCATTGGATCTATAGTGATCAATGAAATCACTTAAGATTGACCTGTTCCACTCCATTATATAATTTGTATAACTAAAAATGAATAGCAGTACTGCACTACTGCAATAGTAATAAAACTAATAACACAATTTCAAAATTTCAAATTATTGTTACGTGCCAACCGTTTGATCCGTTAATTCAGTTACAACGTCTAGGTCAACGCTTGAATGGAAGTGTAGTCAAGAATAATTAAGACTTTTTTTAAAATAATTAAATTTATTTAACTCATAAAATTATCTTAACTACAATTTTGTAAATATTCTAGTAATAGAAATTATCTAAGTCCTAACAATTGTAACTTATAAAATGATTGAAATATTTCTAAGTCCAGACCATAACATACACTGACGTGAAGGTGCTCAGTGCAGCATAGCCAAAACTCGTCTGAATTGCCCTTGTTTTCGGGTCCCTTTTATATGTGATATGGTATGTGTGTGTGTAAAATCCCAAGTGTAAATGAAATAAGATAATAAAATATGATAAATGTGATGAGTCGTTATTGATTCGGTGTGTGCGCTCTAAAATATGATAATTCTCTATTGATTCTGTATGCGTGTACTATCTCTTGACCGGCCCATACTTAATACAAGATCCAGGATGTGGTCAACCACCCACGTATATGTGACTCCGATATTCATATTCTTATTTAAACAGATAACCATGTGAACAATTTAACTTATTCACACGCCCAGTTTCGATGTTCATGAGAACCTCTTATAATGTGTGTTTTATATTATGTGACTACGCAGTACGCGACATTATTTATTTGAAATAAACAACTTACACAGTTAGAAATTTGAATATTTGATAATATTGTGGATAAGAAAAATAGGTGATAACGTGAGAATTCATTTATCAATATTTATTCTGTAGAATCCGATCCTTGTCAATTAGTGGCCGATCAAAGATTCGATCTGTAGGGCTTGTTCCGTCGGATTTTGTATACCAAACGGATTTCATCCAGTGATCACCACACATGAGCGGATTTACCAGCGGACTTGATCCTTCGAGAGCCAAATCCGTCAAAAAATCCCATCGTGTATGGCGGGCTAATCTATACCAGGATAATTATTTTTAAAGCACTTTATTGTACAGCCAATTTGACCTAAGTGATATTTAACAAACATTCTTAGTTCTAGTTTTGATAACTCCAATCAGCACATTTTAATTATGTTGGCTACTAACGTTAGCTCCATACTCACAGGAAGAGTAGTTTGACCACCAATTTTGTTTACTACCACATTATTGTTAGTCTTGTATTTTTTATAGTAGCATTGCAGTACACTGTAGGGTATGCCAGTAGTTTTGGAAACTGACCTAATCGAGTTACCCTTTTGGATAGGGAACATAGCTTGTTTTATTACTTTAGGTTCATGCCATATATGTCTTTTGCCTCTAGGATCGGGTATATATTCGCAAGTCATTTCTAAAACAAAAATAACTTGTTTATCAGTACAACCATAGAACATATTGTTATGTTCTAGGATACAAGTCATATTCTAAAACAACCTACACATTTGAATTAAAAAAAAAAAAAAAAAAAAATCCAGCAAAAATATATTACGCACGTATGTAGGAATCTACCAATTTTATATACATACTAACCCTATTCACCCCAAAATCAAATTTTTTTTTTAATTTTTTTTAGATTTTTGAAAAAAAATATAAATATCTATAATATTTGAACGAAGTAAATATTTTCAATTTCAAAATATGTTTAAGCAACTTAAAAAACTTGTTTGAAGCATTGTAGTTACTTTGATCTGCGATTTCCACATAAAGTTTGTTGAGTGGTGGAAATACAACAAATGATAACTGATAGTAGAAAAATGCATATATCCTATGATTGTGACAAATCTATAATTTCGTCATGCGTCTCTAGTTTTCAAAGAGGCATTAACATTATTCATATCATTATTATTTTATTTGTTATCATATAAGATGCGAAAAATACAAAACACTGACCCGATTCACCTCCATGACCCTATTCATCCCCCTTTACAGTACATTATGATTGACGGTTTCCCTAAATATTGTGTTATATGGTCATGTGATAACGATCGACAACAGTCAATAGTTAATTATTTCAAAATAACGGTAACCAGGCCCATAGTTAGAGGGGCACGGGTAGGCACATGTCCGGGGGCGTCAAGTCTCAAGGGCGACAAAATATTTTAGCAAAATTAATTTTAAAAATTATATACCTAATGGAAAAAAAATAAAACAATAAAAAAAGATAATAGTATGTTTTATTATGTTATAATTTGTTTAATTTGTTGATTAAAAAAAGTATTAAACGATTTTCATTTATAAGTTATATTTTAATATTAAAAATCTTGATTATGGACGAAATAATAAGTATATTATTATTATTTATTTATTTTTTTTTTTTTTGGGGGGGGGGGGGCATAAATAATATGCCCAGGGGCACCAAATTTTTAAATACGGGCCTGACGGTAATTATTCTTATTTTTTCAAAATCCCATTACGAAATTTTTTTCTGCGTCCGCCCCTGCGTTAAAGTTCTATGAAGAAATTAACATATTAATTCGGTCATTTATTTAAATTTTTTTATTTTATATTTATGAATTACCTATTTGCAATTTGTATAAATAAGACCTTTACAAAAAATATTACGTATTTTTTACTTTATGTTTAAAACCTATATTGAACGCCCCAAAAATCGTTCAAATTCATTATCAATTCCTAATTAACTCCGGTGCGGAAATTTCGGTGATTCCATCTGGCAACAATACGCCACGATCGTTAAACACCATATTGACAGCCGCAAAGATACCCGAATCAAAACCCATGGTCCCAAACAACTCCAAATCGACCCCGGGTTTAAACGCCTTTTCATTTGGACTTTCGAAATGGCTGACGTATCACGACGGTTCGCGGACGTTTCGTCCCCGTCAAAAAAACAAGTCCACGAACAATGAAACGTCCACGAATCATCACAACCTATCATAGAAGCCAACTTTTTACATTACCTACTATGGTTTGATGATCAACATACGTAACAATAGCCTCATCGATCTAGCGGCGCCAGGGACGGGCCAGATAGGGCCATGGCCCTACCAGTGGCCCTACCACTAACCTAACCTTAGACATAATAATATAGTCATTTTTCATAAGCAGAAATTATTAAATAATGGTATTTATCTTTTGTAGAAATCTCATTTTTGGTGGCCTTACCTTAAAATTGTTGGCTTCCGTTTGCTCTACTTAGCAAAAAATCCTGGCACCGCTACTGTCGATCTCGCTGATCAAAAGTCCGTAAATGCTACTTTCGTTACCAGCGCAGCCGCCAATTTGATTTTCATCGTCTCTTGACCGACCAAAAGGAATGAACTCTTTCTCGGCTTCACCGAAGCCACTCAGAATCGCCGGTACTGACCTAATTCCTGCACGACTTAGTACACGAACTACACACAACTGAACCAGCTCTTTTTGCCAGACTACGAAGTCTGCAGCCCGATCGACACACCTGACAAGAATTGGAGGGGGAAGGATTTCCGAGTTTCGACTTCCGGTTCAAAAGTCATAAATGACTTGCTACGAAGTTACAAAGAAAGAAAACATTAATTTATATCTTGTGGTTGTAAATAACTCTTTATTTGTATTTATATTAATAATAGAGTAATATAATTATTATAATTCATAGGTACCTTAGATGTATTTTTATAATATGTATTATAAAATCACCTATTTTTTAGAAAAATTTTAACTTTCCCCCTACACACACAACAAATTTGAAAATACGCCATTATATGTACATATACAACTTTTTTTTTTTTGCATAAAAATCCGAGATTCAATAATCAGATTAATCTAATTCTATAAGAAACACCGAAATTCATCAGATTGATAATCAAGGTTGAAAGGAACTACAGAATAAGATCACACGGATCCATAGACATAATATAAATTATATTATGTCTATGCACGGATCCTCTAAATCTCAGCTGATTCCTGTTATCGGTAATAACAATTTATTTTTATTCCTTTTCCGCTTTATATCTATGGTGTAAGGTTAGAATTAGATAACAATACTCAATAGCAATATCTGAAATATCACTATACTGCAAGTAAATATCAACAAACACAACGTTGGCTGATCGAGTTACTTTGAATTCGACTGACTTTCAAAATGTTTCTTGTATAGTTTAGTTAGACTAGTTTGAATAATATAAAATGTTTCCGTAGTTTTTGTATCAATTAATCTTGTGTTATCGTAGACAAATAAAATGTATTTTTTAATAAAGAAAAAAAAATCTTTATCAAAATAAAAATATAATTATCATATTATAAATTATTCACATGCTTTTATTTTTAAATCGTCCTGTTGTATTCGCGTTCTTCAGACACTGTATGTATTACTTTTGATTCAATATTAAATGATACCAATGATATTTGCACAGATTTTATGATTATGTCTTGATATTTTCAGATTTTAATATCTAAAAAAAGAAAAAATGACTCTCTGTAACTTGTTAAGAGTTCCACCCATATTCATTATGGATGAACTATTTAAAAATAGTTTTGGATTACCAGAATTCACCAGTATAATATTTCCTGAAAATAATGACTTTGTAAATAGCACTATAGTTCAAAACGAAATCAATGAATCTACAGAGTATTACAAGGCCACCTTACTATCCTTCTTCAAAATTATACTATCGTGTTTAAGTAGGTTTTCAATACTTTTTGAAACATTCTTATTAGTTTATTAATTGAACAATTTTTTTTTTTTAAGTATTCTGTTCATCGTCATGTTTATTCGTTTTACCAGCTAAATACTTGTACCTAGTATATTTTCATCTAGTTTCTATATGTATTATACTGCTATCCTATTGGACAAATATACAAACATTGAAAGTACTATCAGGAAAATATGGACATTTTAAAATAGACATGATATATGAAGTAATGGCATTGGATTTTTATGGAATTATGCATCTTTTTACACAACTGCAGATTCTTGATTTTTTATACTTATTATGTCGTAATGTAATATTACAATGTTGTTTATCACTTATGTTTGATTTTTTACAAGTCTGTACTACAAATCATTCAATCCCTAAAGTAAATACACTTTATTTAATTAATTGAAAATAATTAATCAAAGATAAAAAATTAACATGGGTTTTTTCCAGGTTTTCAGTTTTAGTTTTATTATTCCTACTTTAATCGCATTAATACCAGGTACTCATGAGATGTTGAATACAATATCTGTTTTAGCAACATTGTTACCACTGTTTACAATGTTAAAAACTTTGTGGTTGAATATATTTACAATAAAAAATTTAATTTGTGATGGATATAATCACATACGAGAGACCATCAAGTAAGAAATCATTGTGATACTATTTTTAATATAATTATTGTGGAATATTACTATTTAGGAAACAAATTTAAATATAAATATGTAAAAAATTTTGTTATTTTAACTTTTTATTAGTCCCAAAAATAAATACAGATACTTGTATGTTATTAAAATAAAATTGTGATTCGTATAAAGAGTTAAAAGTTAAACAGATAAAATTTTTTAAATTTTTTTCAACGATTTTTTTTTTTTTTAAGTATTCTAAATATATTTACTGTTAAAAATGTGAATATTTTATTTTTGTTTCCTTAAACTTATATGATTAGTTATTTTACTTATATATATATATATACATATATTATTAATGTTAATATATTTATTATTAGCAATTATGGAATATCTTCTCTGATTGAAATGGAATGGAACCGCCTCAACATTCCAAGTGTTCTACGAATATTTTGGGCCATTAGAGTATTGGAACAAACTCTGTACCTATTAACTGATATAGAAGTGCAAAATGAAACTTTGTATGGAGCTATGAAATATTTATTAATTAAAGGATGTGACACGTTTACAGCTGTTTTAGGAATGACAAGTTTTGTGTCATATTTTTGTCATTACATTGGTGCATTTTTTCAATGGGTAAGATAATTTGTATGCATTTTAGTTTTTGAAATTCTTTAATTTTTAATTACTTAGATATTGTTGACTGATGATGTGGATGATAAAAGTATTGGAACAATTTCTGCAGTATTGTTTTATATATTAGCATTACAAACGGGACTTACAGGTTTGGAACCAGAAAAACGATTTATAAGACTTTACAGAAATGTCTGTTTACTTTGTGCTGCCTTATTACATTATATTCACAATGTTGTCAACCCATTATTAATGTCTCTTAGTGCTTCACACAATCCTTCACTTAATAGGTATTGTAATAGTTAATTAAATACCATAACAAGTATTTTCAAAATTTGATATTTTATTTTTTAGGCATGTAAGAGCTCTTTTAGTTAGTGGATTTCTTATAGCATTTCCCATAACAATGTTAACATACTTGTGGTCTCACCATTCTATTAGTACTTGGTTACTAGCAGTTTCTTCTTTCAATATTGAAATTATTATAAAAGTATTAGTATCATTAGCTGTCTATTCTTTATTCTTAATTGATGCATATCGTACAACTTTCTGGGAAAGATTAGACGATTATGTGTACTACATCAAAGCATTTGGGAATACAGTAATTATACAATATATATTATTTATATATTTAGTCATTATATTATGAATAATATAATATTTTTGTAAATTTCAGGTGGAATTCTGTTTTGGTATATTTCTATTTCTAAACGGTGTTTATATCATGGCTTTTGTTTCTGGTGGTGCAGTACGTGCATCTATGATGTGCATACATGCTTATTTTAATATATGGTGTGATGCTAGAGATGGATGGAGGGTATTTATCAAGCGTCGTACAGCTGTGAAAAAAATTGAATCATTACCAGAAGCCACTAGTGACCAACTGGAAGAGCTAGATGATGTTTGTGCCATATGCTATCAAAATATGGGATCTGCTAAAATTACCAAATGTAATCATTATTTCCATGGTGTATGTTTACGTAAATGGCTTTATGTACAGGTAACTAATAACTTATTATTGTTTTTAATGATTAAATGTATTTAATGTGACTAGTTGTAAAAAAACATAGAGAATTCTATAAAATTGCTCAAACTGTTTCAGTTAATAATCTACTGCTATTTCTGTTTACTTAAGTAAACTAGTATACTTTTGTAAATTAAGAAAATAGAGAAACTAAAATTTATTTTTATCAATTTATTGATAGGATCGATGTCCATTATGTCATGATATTTTATATAAAGCTGAAGTTTCCAATTTGCCGACACAAGATACCAACCACTTTCAAGATCTTCAACATATTATTGATGCTGAAAATTCTTAAAGTGATTTTTACTTTTAAGTTTTAATTTTTTATCATTAACTTTAATGTCGAATGAATCAAGTTCAATTATATTAATAACCAAAATATTTTATATCAACACATTTAATTTAACACACAGTTGCTATTATTTAAAAACTAAAATATTTAATTTTAAATTCTGCTCAATATTGCAATATTTTGAAAAGCATATTATACATCACAATTTAAAACAAATTTATAGTAAACAAATTTCACAATAAAATAATAAAAAAGCTTTCCTTCAGCAAAAAAAAAATATTTAGTTATTTATTGAATTTTGTATACAGACATTTTATGAACACTATTTACTTCTTGTATCAGTATTTTATGTTATCTCCTTAGCCCCTTATACACCAAAATCTCTTTTTAAATTATTTAGTCTTCCATATATTGAAAATTATCATCTCTACAGTTATGTTCTCCATGTGCAATGCAAATTAATAGAAATTATTTGGTTGCTTGAACAAATGCTAGCCGCTACTTGTAAGCAACAAAACAAATTCAACTTAAACATAAAATATAACTTTTTGTGTCCATCTTAATAATTTGATAACTTGTCAAATATTTGTTAAATTGCTAAACATAAATTGTTTTATATATTAATGTATATTTATCTCTAACTAATTGTATAGTGTATCACATTTAATAAAATTTATATAATTAATGATTTAGTTTGAATTTTTATTTTAAAGTAAAAATAAAAACTGTAAATTCTTAATTATAAAAGCATTATAGGTAGCAAAGAATCTATATTAAAAACATAATTTTGATTAATTAAATTACATAATATGAAATTTCTTATGATTTCAGTTTTAAATATTGACTATGATTTTCATTAAAACAAATGTGATAATAACATTTAAGTGATTGTTACAATGATCTAACATTAGTTTTCTAAATTATTATCATCATAGTTGATGAAAAATTGTTTTTTTTATTATGTATTATAACCTACCATAAGATACATATGAATATTTTCCCTATGCTATTTATGTCCTAAGTGAATCATATATTAAATATTATACTTTACTCAATTATCCATTTATTTTTGAAATTTAATCATTCAGTTAGAAGTGTACATTATTTTTTTATTTTAATAATTCATTTTAAATGATAAATGAATAACATTTGAATGCAATGACGGAATATTAATTCTTATTCTCAGTAACATATTTATACTATTTATTTATGTCATAATCACTTAATTTGCTTCATTTGACATTTTAAATGTAAATATAAATGTAAATGCTTGTTTTAATTTTTATTATTATCAACTTTTATCTTAGCTTAACAGTATCAAAAAAAAAAAAAAAAAGGCTTCAACTAAAATACCTCCAAATTTACCATATTGATCTGTTATTGTAACAAATTGCAGTATAAATTAAATTATATTAAACAATTGTAAATATAATATTTTTTTTTTAAACTATTTTATTATTTCATTACTTAATATAGTGTCATCAATATTTAATTGATAATTATAATTCAACTACAATATAGGGTGTTGGATGATAAAATCAATTGATTTTCAAAAAGAAAAATGTTTCTTATATATTTTTGATAATTATATGAATTGTGCTTATTAGTTTAAGTCAGTTTTAAAATGTTAAATTCTATAGTCTTTATTTATTGTACTTAATTTGATTTTGTACTTAATATAAAAATAACATATTAGTTATGTATATTTTTAACATAAAATATTATATATATATATATAAACATTTTGAATTAAAATTTATTTTTTGTTGTCTTCATACAACTTGAACAATGAAAAATTACACATCATGTTCTTGCTTTTAAATAATCTGACTAACAATTTTTTTTTGTGATATTTAATATTGTATATAACAATAATAAAATTAAATATGTTTATTACTGTAGAGAAACTTTAAGTTATTAATTGTACTCAACTTGTTTCCTATTTAATAAAAAGTTTATAAAACAATAAAAATGGATTACAAACTTAGTACAGATCTTATGTGTAGTGTATTACTTAAAAACTGTATATTTTTAATGCAGTAGTCATTTAACTGTATAATGTATTGTTGTAATATTGTTTATTTTTAAGAAATATTAATAAATATTATTTTTCTCCATATGTTTATAACTAAAAAAAACAATCGATTAAAAAAGTTCGACAAAATTAAATTTAAGGTACTAAACAGTTTATTTACACATTTTTATTGTTATGTAATTAGAGATAAATTAAAGCATCATAATATTTCAAAATATTTGTCTAAATATTAAACATGCAAAATATAATTATTAGGAGCTCTTATATATATATTTATATAGATATATTGATATTTATTATGACTATACAATTATTAAACAATGCAGAGTTTAGACTTAGAAACTTAAATTAAATACATAGTATTAGTTAACTTAATACTATTATGTTTAACATAAAACTTAACACCTTGTCATTAATATGATTTAAATAATGAAACCATAAACCTAGAACTTAAATATTACCATAAATCTAAAAATCTAACAATGTAAGAAGCATAAATATTTCAGAGTTATTATCCAGAGATTTTCCATTCAGGTAAACTATCAGAGGTATCAGAGGAATAGTAAGATCTTTCATCATCGATTTCATTCATCGCTTCAAAGTTTTCTTGGCTATCCACAAAAATATTGTCATTATAATATTTAACATTACGCACAGTGTGTATAAAATTTTCAACGTCCAATTCACTCATAAATTCCTCAGGTGTCTCAGAATTCATGCTCAATTTGGCTTTACCTGAGTTGTATCTATATTCATTTAAATTTTCAACTACAAATTGATAGCAATTTTGCAGTTCCTGATTTTTACTACTTTCTTTCATGTACTCTAGCCAGTCCAACATATTTACTCCTGCCCACCAGAAACCTAAATCACCATCAACAAAATTGAATGGATTTCCACAATTTAATTCTTCATCTTCAGACAAACTTTCTTGTATTAAGCGACCCACAAACCAAAATCCTTGGACCATGAGTCTCTTAATTTTTTCATTAAATCTTGACATGCAGTCAATAGTGACAAAATGTTCTGATAATGATGGTTGAATATTATAACCCTTAGCTTCACTGATGAGTGCAAGTAGGACCATAAAACGAGGTGTGGTTAAGTGTTTAGGTCTAGGTTTAAGGCTAAGAGTTATATTGGCTTTGGTATTTGATTGATGTCTACCCTCAATGGACTTCCAAAACCAGGAGGTTTCATTTGATGAAGTTGTTGAGACAGAAGATCCAATGATTGATAATAAGAAATCTTTGTTCAAATTACTTGCCTGGAAGATTTCATAAGTACTAAGGTATTCCGTGGAAGGTGTTAAGTCATCATCAGTAGTACGAATAGATATATCTAACCATGATAAAGATGATGATGTAGATAATTTGACAGAATCCGATGAAAATAACCCATTTGGATAAAACGAGCAATCTTTCATCATATTGATATAATGGCAAAACTCATTTCCATCAAAATCTTCAGGGTTATAATTCATTTTGGATATAATATTATTTAAATCTAGAAATAATGTATTGTTAGTAAAAAATGTAATAATTATTAATAAAAAAATTATAGGTACCTGATTGTGGTTCTGTTCTGTTACTAGAGTTTCTTTTTTTATGTTTTTTGTTTCTCCTTTTTAGAGATAAATCTCTATGTTTTAGCTCTGGAAATTCTTTTTCAGTCACTTCAACAAATATAGATTTACCATCATCATCATCTAAACAGTCATCAACTACATCAAAATCATAATCTAAGTAATATTCACATTCTTTAAATGATCCAGAAACAGCTTCAGAATAGGATTTTCTACTAAGAGAACTTCCATCATCTGTACTAATAGATGATGCACCTTCAGACATTTGAATTGACTTTGGCATAAATTTCTGAATGAATTCATCTGTACTATCAGCACCATCAAAATTATCAAATAAAAATACATCATCTACATAATCTTTTTGTGGTAAATCAATATTTTCAGAATTAAAAATTTCCTTTTGCTTAGTTTGTTCATTATCCGAAATATCATCTTGACTCGAGTCAGTTTCAAATGGCACGTCTCCAAGTACTAATTTGTCATTCATAGGTTCAAAGTGTTCATCTATATCTACAATACATGATTTTACTTCATTTACTTGCTCTACAATATTATTTTCTTTTAACATAACAAAATGATTATCCTTAAACGCAATACCATAATTATTGGGCGAATGAGAAATGTTATTTAACTGTGGAATACATTCATCCTTGTTCACAACTACAAAATCAAATGATTCACTATCTTCATCTAAGTTTTTTACTCTAGATAACCTTGTTGAAGATTGTTCAATTAAGTCTTCTTTTATAGCTTCTAAATTATATTCTTTAACATCTGATGGTCGGTCAACATTATGAGTATTGATTAAATTACATACATCTTCATTAACAATATTATTGACAATTTCCGAGTTATTATTGATACTAACAATATTGTGCAGTAATGATTTCTCTGAGTACTGTGAATTTTGATCTGGTATTTGAGAAATTGGGTATTCAATTTCTTCATTAAAATCATTTTCTAATTTGCACAGCGATCCAACAATTTTTTGTTTGTCAACAACTGAAATGGAAGGTAATTCGGTTATTCCTGGAATGTCAATGGTCTTCTTTTTAATGGACTGTCCTCGAATACTTTTAACTATTGGTTTTTCAATTTCTATTGCTTTCGATGAATTTTTTGTAATAACTTTAGAAGGTTTTGGACTCATTGGAGATTTCAGTGATGTTCTTGAAGCTAAACTTTCAGTTGAAACAGAACTGAGTCTAGAAGATGAAAGTGATTTACTTTTGGATAAACCTGGACTTAATATCAGTTTAGTTGGAACATTTTTTTCAACTATTGGGGATTTTAATGATGATACTGAAGAAGCTCTTGTTTTAACTATTGGCGATAATGGAGTAGTTGTATTTACTGTAAGTGACAATGGAGTTTTGCTTTTAATTGCAGCTGACACTGAAGTTTTGGGTTTTGCTGTAGGGGATGACACTGAAGTTTTGGTTTTTAAAACAGGGGATACTGGTGTTTTTATAATTGAAGAACACAAAGTTTTCATTTCAATTTCTGGAAGTAATTTCGTAACTGGCGACTTAGGTGTCAAACTCTTGGAGGTCAATAGCGGCATAACTTTGGTTTTTATAGTTGTGGATGATGTTGATTTTATTGAAATAGTAGATTTAATAGATGTAGGAGACTTCACTGATAATAATGATAAAGAACTGTGTTCTTTTTTTACTATAGTTTTTGGAGAAGTTGGACCGGTCTTAGAAATAAAATTGGATTTATTAGTGATTGATTTAACAGGTAATGTTTTCACAGAACTAGATTCTTTGATTACTGATTTTGAAGGGGAAGGAGTTTTCAAAGAAATTGATTTTACACTTGAGGCTGTAGATGGGCTTCTATTCATAGATGATTTTATTGTTGGTGAAGATGGTAATTGTACACCTGTTACAGTCTTTGGAGATAATACAAGTGTTTTTTTTACTGGACTGGTAGGTTTTAAAACATTTGCTTGATCTGTAGATAAAACAGGTTTTGATGATGTTAAGCCAACCTTAACAATTGCCTTGGATGCTACAGACTTTAATGTTGAAGTTTTAGATACAGCTGATGTTGAAATGGAAGTTTTAGATACATTTGATGTTGAAGATTTAGTAAGTATTTTCTTACTTCCAGCAACAACTGGAGGAGATTTTAACACTGGTGAAGAAACAATAGATGCTTGAGATGATTTAGCAATTGGAGAGGATGGTAATTTAGCTACTCCAGAAGGCATAATTGGAGATTTAGAAGGTAATGTATGCTTGCTTACTGTAGGAGACTTAGCCAACAATGGGGACTTCACCAACGAAGTTACTGGAGTTTTAGGAATAGATTTTGTAGTTACAAGAGATTGCAATTCTTTAGTATCAGCCTCTTTAATATTTATTTTAAGTGGAGGTGGTTTAATTGCAATTTTTGTTGGTCCTTTGCTAGCAGAAGTAGCTATTTTTTCAAACTTAGCATCAATAACAGGTTTAGTAACAGATTTTTCAGCTGGGCTTTTTGGAGGAAGTAATGACTTTTTTACACTAGTTCCAATACTAATCTTTTCTGTACTGCCAGCTAATGGTGCTCGAACAATTGATCCAGTTATTATCTTAGAAGAAGCATTCAAAGGAGATCCAGGTGATCTGGGCGATATTGGCGGTAAAGTTTTTGATCCTGAACCAGGTTTTGTGGTAAGCCCAGATTTTTTCACAGCAGAAGGGAATGTCATGATGCTCTACAACAAAAAAATATTACTTATAAAATAGAAAGGTTAAAAATATTACTTTTTAATAAAATGATAAAATTAACATTACAACAAAAATATTCTATATGCATAGTTAAAAATTAGAAGTTAAAATAATTTTCAAAATAAAACATATTAAGACTTCAAATTACAACCAAAATAGATAACAGATATGTAATTTTTCTGGCCTCTCGATCATCAGGGTTATCAAACCGTAGACATGCAAGTAAAATAGAAAAACGGTTTTTACTAGTAACACAACGAAAAATATTTCTTCCACTCCCATCAGTCGCAAATATTGAAGAAATATATTCATAGTTTGATTTGATCATAGCAGAATAAAATAATAAGCCAATAAAAGCTCGTCGTTCTATAATATCAACATTTTTCAAATCACTTAAATATATTTTATATCTTTCTCTGGGTTTGGAAATTTCAATATTTGTCCAAGTCAAAATTTCAAATCTCGTTTGGGTACAAAAATATAATAGTTAGTTAATCGAAAGACTAAAAATAACCAATTGTGATCGGCAGTTTATACTGATGTACGGTCTGACAGACTGCTCTCAATATAAATGTTTTATTTCCAAGGAAAAAAATAAAACCCAAGACTATTAAACATTGCCGACTTAACTAGACGTCGATCATTTAGAGGTAATACAAAATAAAATAAAATTTAGAACATTGTATAAGTAATAAAATGGTAAACAAATATTTGAGGCGGTCTGACAGACTGGACGTCGGTAGTTAAGGGTTATATACTATATAATATATCCTTAGTGCAAAGGTTAAAACTACGATACTATTTTGGCTAAAATTTAAATTCAATAATTTAATAAATTAGATCCCTAATTATTATTCCCTAACCTGGGTGTTACAATAAACAGCAAAAATAATAACCATACTGAAATTAAAATAAGAATAACGGCAGCAAATAAATGCTATTACAGAGTGAATTACAATATACAATTATTAGACCAGTTCTTTTATATGCATGTGAAACATGGCCAACAACTAAAGGAGACAAAAAACAAAATAGCAATATTTGAAAGAATATTAAAAAGAATATTTGTGCCAAAAATAAATAATAGCACACACAATATGAAAAAATAAGTAATGTAGAAATACAATTATGCAAAGTAGAAGTATTAAAATATAGGAGAATGACATGGCTGGTCATAGAGATCAAATAGTCTTATAAAAAAGGTTTTAAAATGAAAAACCCAGGAGAAGAGACCATTTGGCAGAATGAAACAAAGGTGGATCGAAAAAGTGGAGAAGAATTTAGCAGTTATTGGAATACAAGATGGAGAAACTATAGTGCAGGATAGACAGATGGAAGCAAGTTTGTGTTGTGGTAATGGGCCTTAATGGCCTTTAATAACTGAAGAAGATGATCCCTAACTAAAAAATTCTTGAATAAATAAATCTTTAATTTAATTTTAAATTACATACTAATGAATTCATAATCCTACCGAGAAGTATTAATGTTTATTTAAATAAATATAAGTAGATCTTGACATTTTTAGTAAATTAATTATTAGCAAGGTTATTAAATTTTTTTATATCTAGTTCACTTTTATCTACAGTGGAGAACCTTGATTATCTGATGTAATGGCGAGGAGAAGTCCAACAGATAAATGGAAGCCCAGAACTTCTTATTTAACCTGGTATATAAATATATATTGTCATGTTTTAAAATGAATAGGATTTAACATTTCAAGTAATTAGTTATTTAATCAGTTTTTTTGTAGTTAAAAATTACTTTTCTTATTTCACTCCTAATTTTTCTTGAATTCATAAGGTATCACAGAAGTCAACAGTTTTCTGCTTGCAGAAGTTCAAGAAAATAACAATTACTTCCATATATTTATTTATAATACAGCCCACATATTATTTATTAAATTATTATTATTTATCATCTTTAACTTATATACAATATATTGCTTATGCTTAACTTATGCTTATGTCATTACTTTTGAAACACACAAATTTTTCGGAAAAATGAGCATAGTTGATTGAGGTTCTACTACATATTTATTGTTTTCAATTCCAAATTATAGTTAATAATTAATAAATACCAGTAAAATAAAATAAAAAATACTATTGGTTTTCTACCATAATTTCAATTAATATCTAATAATATCTGTATCTTTTTAACAAATTGTACTCAACTTGTAAAATATGAGAACTTTATCACTGAAAATATATATGTCATATTGGTTGGTGCTCCTTAGGGAGATAATTTATCAACATTATTTTACTATTTATAAATGATGGATACTACTAATAATTATAATTCTTTTTTGACTTTTTATTATTAGCAGACAATTTCAAGCTATATAATAAAATTCAAAAGTCTAAAAATAGTATGACAATCACGGTATGTCCCCAAATATAAAAAAATGTGATGCTATGTCTTTCTCTTTAAGAAAAAAAACTTATTATTCTTAATTATAATTTAAAAAAAAAAATTAAATATCTACCTCAAATTAGTGAAATTAATTATCTAGGTGTTACTTTTTATTTAAGATTTAACTTTAAACTTCATACAAATAATATTATTTAAATCCTCGTTATCGTGATTACAATAATATAAATGAGCTTTTCCCTAGAAAATATTTTAACCATTATATTTAAAATTTCTTTACAAATTATTAAAAAATATTATAGACTGTCCAGAACTGATTGAATATCAAACTTCAAAATTGTTACTGGAGAAAGTTCTGGATCATGTTAAGTACATGGTGCATTTTGCCTTAGAATTTTTTTCTTTATATCCACAGTAATTAATTAAATCTAAATTAACAATATTGGATTAATGGTTAATTTATTAAATTAATTGAATAAAATCTACCTAGTTTATCCAGTTACTCAGTTATCCTAATTCTAAATGGCAAACAAGGACAAGAAACATCACTCGCCTCTCGAAAGTTGAAAAAATTATTATCTATAAATACTTACGTATTTACTCTATAAGAAATACAAGGACATATTTTTATTTTTGTGGGGGGGACAAAGGGGGCATTCGCCCCCCTCATGGCTCATATTTTTTTTGAATACACTGATTTATTTAAAAAATGTAATGTGTAAATAATTAAGAATATAAATTACAAGTCTATCACTATTATATGATAAAAAAATAGATAATATAGTATTTTAATAAACATACATTTTTAGATATTATTGTATCCATTGATGAAATAATCAACAAATTTGCTAAAACGAAAAAAAGAAATTTGGAATTTGTTATTTGACTACTTACTAACCTTATGTTTTCTACTTAGATATTTGTTAAATTACGTTACGTATCTTAATTGTCTTTTAAAGTTTTTAAAAAATAGGTACTATTACTAATATGATTATACATTGTTTTTTTTATACAGGATTCAGACTGAAGGTACAATTTCAATAAAGGAACTATTTGTGTTGTTTACTTATCTTATATGCAGTAGGTTTTAAATATATTTATTAAATAAATATTTAATTTAATTTGGTACTTGTATTTTTATTTATTTACTCGAATGACCAACAGGAACATGAGCTGTAGTTAATGATCTTTAAATTATTTTAAAGTTTGTATAGAAGAAAAATTAGTTTGCCTCCTCCCCCATGGCCTCAACTCAAATACGCCTTTGAAGAAACATCTGCAATACTTTTGAACCTATTTTACTTAAATAAACCATAAAACTTCAATTTTGATTTTAGCAATAATTTAATAAAATTAGGTGAATAGGTGAATTAGTAAAATAGTAAAATATTGAAGCCATTAAGTTTTAGTAGGTATCTATAAGAAAACCTTAAATAAATCTCGAAATAACTTCTAAAAACTACCTACCGATTTTTATTTAATTTCAAATAAATGTGAACAATAAGGTATTAAATTACAACCATTTTATAAGGAGTCCAGATTTCGTAAGATATTTTAATAATATTTTTTTTAAGATTACCTACCTAAATACCCACCTTTATTCTTAGTATAATATATTATATACTATTTCGTAAATAGGAAATTATTTAAAAATGACTAACAGACGGGCATTGTGCAAAATTGTATAGTTACTTTTTTACATAAAATAATAATATAAATATACTGACCTGTTGAAAAGTAACGTAGTGGAGATGAAAATAAAATACTTCAGTGAATTATCGAAAGGTTGAAAGCCCAAAGGCGATCAGGCCTAGACTATGTTCGCTCAAAATAATTTATTTTTATTAAAAAAATTTAAAATAAAACAAAAGACTAAGGGTCTTATAATACAACTTTGAAGAAGAAATTTGAAGAGAAAAATGAAGACAAAGAAACAAAAGAAATAGACGGCAGAAGCACAACTGAACGTTGTGCCCAATAGGTATCGTTTTGGATATTGCTATCCAATATTGTTTCTAAATTTATCAATACATTTGGATTTCCCGTCTATCGACTTCATGGCACAAGTGATGATAATCCATAAAAATGAAACGACCGTGCCAGAAACCGATAACTGACCTGTAATGCTTATATCTGCAAAAATAATTTCGGAAATAATATTAATTTCAAATATTATTCTGATCAGTTTATCGCAAGTCACTATTGTTAAAATTCCCTAAAGGAAAAAAAAATGGACTAAATCTGTATAACGCACAACTGATAATTTAAAACACCTCATGAATCTTAATTTCATAGAAATTCATATACCTACTCAAATAAATATATTATTATAGTATTCTTTATTTTCTTTCATAAACATATCAATTTTTAATTATTATTTATTATTAATGTTATAGAAACATTAAATGTTGAGCATATTAAAATAAATATATTTTGAAAACGATATTTTGTTTTATAAATATATGATCATGTCTGTAAATAGTATCTTACCAACTTAATGATTTTTTAACTCTAATAACACTTATATTATTATTATTTTCTTTCGTATTCTAGTGTTTATATTATATATTTCCTTAAAATATAACCTAAGGCTACACTCGTATCGGATTCATCAGTAATTATAATAATTATCCGTAACATGAGGAACCACCCTTTCTGGCATAATTTATATAAATCTCATTAAATGCTTCAATATTAAAATATTGCAAGAGCTTTAAATATAATTACTATATACCTATATATTACTATATACCTATTATACCTACTTTAGAGTTAAACTCAGATTTTTATTACATTTTTATTATTATGCGACGTAAATGAGGCAATTTGTGGATCTTTGAATTATAGGCCATGGCTTTTCAAAAAATTAAGTTTGCAGATATTTGCAATATTTGAAGAGCAACACAAGTATTCATTCTTGTAGTATTTTATTAATTATTACGTTTATTGTAACCATTTTTTTTCCAACAGGTTATTTGTGTTCCTGGGAGATAATACTTGTCACTCGTTACAATTAAATTGGTGCTATTAAGAATTTACAAAACCACTATACAAGCCTTTAACTAATTAGTATAAAATTGATTCTGTCAAACTATTTAAACTTATTCTCATTATACATTAAGACTTTACGTGTGTATTATATAGTACGTGAACATTAAATTAATATAACTTAATCTCTTCTTTTCTTAAAAAAATCGTCAATTCACCTGCCACTTGGGAATACTGTAGAGTACCTACATCATGTGGTAGTTTGCAATCGTTTAGTAAAAAAAAAAAAAATAATGATTGCCCTTTCGGGCGAGTATTGAACTTAACCTAACATGTTGAAATTCACTATAATATGTAATACATTCTTCTCTGGATTTTCAACACATACTATATCAAGTGTCATAAGCGGAAATTAGTGGGGGGGGGGGCTGAGCATTATTTGCTTATTACACCTATAGGCATCCCTGTACGCAATTATTTATTTCAACAAGGCAATTTACAAAGTTTGACAATTTTAAATACTCAACAATTTAACCAAAAAAGCAATTAGGTGCCTTATCTTAAACATTTTTGGATTAGGTATTCTAAACAGAAATTATTAATTAAATAAATTCAACAACCAATGCATGTATTATTACATATTATTAATATTACATTAATTACGATCGTTCCAAGTCATGACAATAAGTTTGTAAAATCTTACGAATTTGATTTAATTTTTATCATAGAATATTTTTTTTTAATTTAGTTATTAAAATTGCCTTTTACAATTATAATAGTTATTATATTTTTAGTCACTTAACAATTTTTAACAATTTTTAGGGCTGGTGGGCTAAGACCTGTACTTTACATTTCTGGGGGGGGGGGCTTAGTACCCTCAACCCTCCCCCCCCGATATCCGTATATATCAAGTGTATAAGTAAAAGCCCAAAAAACACAAATACATACCTACTACAGTTGGATTTGATAAATATTCGAACTCACATAGTGGCCATTATGCATTGCTGGGAATAATATTGTAATCAAATATGTTGGGGTAAGATATAAGGATTTTGGAAAACATATACTAGGTGTGTATCTAGTTCTCATTTCATAAGCAGTTATTTAGAAAAATAATCATTCTCTGGGTTGAAATCACACTGTAATTTTTGTACTTATTCTGTAGTATTGTAGTATTACAACATTAATACACAGTGATGTATTTTCAAATTTATTGTAGGAGAGGGTTTAAAATTTTTCTAAAAAATGAGACATAATATATTATAACAAATACGTATAATACAATTTTAATAATTATAATTAATTTATTTTTATACAATCATTACAACCACATTATACAAATTAATATTCTCTTTTTCTGTACTTTTATAATAAGTAATTTATGACTTTTAAACTTTTTTTTCTGAGATAGTTGAGACTCCCCTCCCCCCAAAATACACCACTTCGAATACAGAAAAAATGTATTTGATATTATAAATAACAAAAGTTATATAGCAATAGATAATATGTATATATAAATGTGAATTATTTAATATTATTTTCATTTATTACTCGTAGAATGCTTAAATAGTTAGACAATAGTTATATTTTTAAACTTTAAAAATATGTACTTTCAGTGACGTAGCTAGAATTTTTAAATGGAAGGGGCTAAACATTTTTATAAGTAGGTTAAGTAAAAAAGGATTTGAGAATTCACCCATACCCCCTCACAATACCAAATTTAAAAAGTTATTTCCAGAATTTTAAAACAGTTTTAAGAATATCTATTTATTAATATATAATTAATAATAGTAAATTAACTGTGATCAGCTGTAGTTGCATTGCCACGACATAACATAATTTAAAAACTATACTATTGTAATTATAAAATATAAGTGTTAGACGAGAGTCGGCACAACGATCACGATAACCACTAAAAATATTGTAGTTATTTTGTTAGAAGTAATACACTTAGGTAATTATCAATGACTAACACTCGTTATTCGACAATATTTAGTTAGTACCGAAGTTTTAAAATATTTAAATATCAAATAGTAGTATACTAATTTAGTATATACACATAATTATGACACATAAGGGGATGGGATATAGCTCCTTTAGCTCCCCTTGGATTCGCCCCTGTCTACTTTGATAAAATGAAATAGATAGTAATTAAAATAAAATATAAGTTCTGTATTTAATTTGATATTATAGATAAATTATCACTCAATAATCATTACGAATTATACCACGAATAAAAATTAACAACATGATGCGTGGAAATCGGAATTGAGCTAAAAAAAATTACTACTGAACATTTAACTTAAATAGCAAGCAAATTAAATTGTGCATTAATAGTTAATATAAAATATTTTATTGCTTGCGTTGTATGAATGATGCTGAGTTAATTATAATTTAATTAAAATAAGTCTTAATTAGGTTATTGAGTTGTCCCATGATTTAATTACTTAAATCTTAAGAATTTTACAATGATTACTTTCAAATACTTAACATAATTTTATTTTTATTTATGTGTATACTTAAGTCGGTCAAACTACTATAATTTTATATTTAATGTTGTATAAGTAATTAATTAATTATTTTAAATGTTTTTAAAACTTTTACAATAAATAAAATAATTTATAGTTCAAGGATTAAATGTTGTACCTATTACCTATGCTAATAATTAAGATGTTCATTTCACCAAATTTACTTTTGACTAAATATCTCTGGTTTTTCAACAATATTTATTATTTATAATTATAAATTATGAACAGAACATTAATTTTATCTGTTATCAAATAAATTAAGTGTATTGGACTCTAGAACTTATTTTGATTAATTCCTTACACATGGTAATTATATAATATTTATTTATTACTTCATTTGTATACAAACAGAATAATAATATAACCTTATTGTAAAATGTAAATAAACAATAAAACTGTTTTAACATTAATTCCTGACAACACTTTTGAAAATAGTATTATTATAATATAAATTAAATTTTATTTTAATATTAGAATTTGAATTTATAAATTGTAATATTTTATTTTGTTTTTTCTTCATTTAATTAAAGTGAGTATTTAAAGTAAAATCATTTGTATTTGTGTTATTGTAAATGTATTAAATTAAATAATGTAAAAGTGAGACATTAAATTAAAATCAAACATGGAGTTTCAACATGGATATTTCATAATCTCATTAAATCAACCATTGACTATTAATACTACCTAGTATTTATAATGGTCCAACCAAACACTTAACTACTAATTTTATTAATTATCGAAAAAAAAATAATTAAATAATAATCTTATTCAACTTAAAATTACAATTTATATAATTTTATAATATAAATTATTTATTTTAACAATAAAAACTGAATCGTTTAATGGAAATGGAAAATGTAAGCAAATGTGTAAGCAAAATCAACTGATTAATAAAAATTTGTTTTTTATTATTGCCTCTTTCATATTTTAGCCACAGTAATATTTAACAAACGGAAATTGCACTTTCAGCAAAATAATTTTAATTTTAATTTTGTTGAGAAGCAAAACAAGTTTTGAAATGTTCTAGAAGGTTTTTGTGATAATATTGTCACCCTATTCCAATTAAATCGTATTGTGTAACCAGACTCGTCAAATTGCGTATACGGAAAATTGTTCGCTTTGTGATAATGATGTATCAATATTTATATAATATAATATCATCTACAATATACAATAACAGTAATTATTATTTTCATGAATAGTTACAATGTAACAATGATACGTATTATAATTTATAACGTACTTATATTTTATAAAATATAATTAATCAATGATATTGTAATATTTATTCGTGAATTGAATAAATATGTATTTTTATTCATATATTATTAATGTATACGTTAAAATAAATCAAAACATATGCAATCACTTAAGAGGTTCGAAAAAATTATTTTTTATGTTATACAAATTTAAATGTATATTAATTAATTGATATTGTATTCTAAATTACACGTTAA